CATCTCTACCCTTCTCTTTATACTTAGCTTCTCAGGTATAGGGGCCAAATCACTCCCCAGGGGTGAAATAGACATAGGTCTAGGAACAGACTGCACATAGGGAAAGCATGTGGGCTCCTCCACCGAGCTGGGGCAGGACAGGATTGCCCTGGTGGTTAAGTTCATGTTCTTAAGGCCAGAGCACGGCTTTAGGGCCATGAGATGCTCTAGGTCCTGGGTCTCTTCTGCCAGCCCTAGCAGCTCGCTCTGAGCTTGGTGTGCAACGACATAATCCAGGACTGAGTCCCATCCACCAAGACAATTGAAACTCCTGAAAGCCACAGACTGTCACTTGGCCCCTCTGGAAACACATGACAAATGTTTTGAATGGCCAAAAAAGATTTAGCACGCTACAGTGTGGCAGCTCCAGACTACTGCAGGGGTAATGGACATTATTCCAAAAGCAGCTTGGAGGTCACCACCTCTGGGGGTAAATCAGGCAGCATTCTCTTTATCTAAAACTGTCAAATTCACATGCCTACAACCCCCCTTGCCATCCAGTCGATTCCAATTCAGAGACCTTACTAGTAACCTTATAGAATATAGTAGAAGTGCGCAACAGAGTTTTCATGACTGTAATTTTTACAAAAGTAGACTACCACATCTTTCTCCTGCAGAGTGGCTGGTGCGTTCAAACCACCAACTTTTTGGTTAGCAGCTGAGTGCTTAACCACTGAGCCACCAGGGCTCCTTCACATGCTTTCAGACCTTTCTAAGCATCAAGGACACACCAAACATCCATTTTTTGAGGAATCTCATGTCCCCTGGCTCCACCCTCCTCAAACCAAACTCACTGTCATTAAGTCAATTCTGATTCAGAATAACCCCCACTGGGTTCCCAAGGCTATAAATCTTTATGGGAGCAGACTGCCTCATCCTTCTTCCACAAAGTGGCTGGTGAGTTTGAATCACTGAACTTTTGGTTAGTAGCCAAATGCCTTAACCACTATAGCACCAGGGCTCCTTCTACCCTTCTATCTTCTGTTTTTTGCTAACTAGTCCACTAGTCTGCCTTTTCCCCTCCTCAAATGCGAAAGCCCTTCAGGGCACACTCGGAATGCAGGGCAGGGTTTAGCATTAAGCTCCCAAGCTCTGGAAACTAGATTCACATTAGCTTGTCAGTCGACTTTTCCGATCAGATTCCTGTAATACTTCTAACAACCAGCTCCCTTTTCATTCCTTTCCAACCCAATTCACCACATGCAAATGATATCTGTATCAGTGCAAATGACACCATCTGAATTATCTGGTTCTTGGCACAAAAAGAAAAAAAAAAAAAAAACCCACAACTGGGTTGTTTGGTGTAGAGTAGAAAAAGCTTTAAAATGTATTATTAATTGGGGCCAGATTATTTTTTGCAACTGTTACTAAGGAAACCTCAATTGCTATAGTAACTGCATATGTTAAATTGGAATCATATGACTCAACTTCAATCCAGAGTCACATGGTCCAAGAGCAAAAACCCAAGGAAGAGAAATGTTTCAAAGCAATTCCATTTTCTTTTTCTTCTTATGTCAAAATATTGTGAAGTGTTGAGAAGCTTGAAAGAGAGGTGTTTTTGAAATCTGGAACATGTCTGACAGGTGGGCAAGGGGTCAGCTCCTATTCTAGCTCTGAATCTCCTCCCCACATCAAGGGCAGGCAGGACTTTTCCAAAAGCCCACGGGAGACGAGCATCCACGTCTAATTAGGAAGCACTTACACGCTTCTGCATCAATACTGCCCTGGGCGGTTGCGGGCCTGCGGATGTCACCTTCCTACCTAGGAAGAGGACAACCCAGCTCCCTTAGGGATTCTAGATGTTTTCATCTGTAAAATGAGAACGCTAATAGTATCTACCTAGTAAGAGTGTTGTAAAGACCAAAAGTCATAATCTATAAAAGGAGTGTAGCACAGCGCCTGACATATAATGAACCCTCAATAGATTCTACCTATTCCCCATTCCCTTTTAGTTTCTGTGCTGGGTCCCAAGTTCAAGGCACAATGTTAGATGGAGAAATGTCAACTTTCGAGTACGCAGCCATCTGGCTACTGAAAGTGCTGTCTGTGGACCAGCAGCAGGGGAAGCACCTGGGAGTTTATTAGAAAGGCAGACTCAGGCCCCACCCCAGCCCTACAGAGTAGAGTCTGCATTTTCACAAGACTCCCTGATGATGTGTGCTTATTAATATCGGAGAAGCCCTGTTCTTGGCTGGGTGAGTGAACAGACATTGAAGACAATAAATGCAGGATGAACGAAAAGACACTGAGGACCGAAACTTGGTTAATCCGACCCCTAAGAGTGAATCAGCAGGAGATGGAAAGAATCCAAGGAGAGGCAGGAAGAATGTCAGAGAGGCTTCTGAGGGATGCCCCACCTTGAACAGGAGCTCAGGCCAGTGAGGCACCTTGAGACTCCCAGAGCTGGGTGTACCCTATTTGAGGGTGTGGGTGGCCCTGTCTTTCTGCATCTCAAGAGTCTCTTTCCTGGGCTTCTGGTCAAAACAGAGGTATTTTTAAATAATATTTTATTGTGTTTTCCATGAAGGATCACATAGTAGTTTAGGTTCCCATGCAACAATTTCTATACAAAGTTGTTCAGGGACATTGGTAAACATTCTCATTATTTCTGTCCTGGTTATCCCATTTCCATTCATCTAACTTCCCTGATCCCTTACATTCTCATCTTTGTTTTAAAGTAACTGTTGACTGTCTGGGGATGTTTTTAAAGATGCACAGTACTCAGGGGTGAGAGGCTATTTTTTGAGCCACTCTGTTATTTAGCTACAAAATGATCTCAGCTTCAGTTTCAGGTCTGAGGTTTGAGGAGGAGCTTTCTGCGTGTTCTTGTCACTCAGAACTCATTATTTCAATCAGTAATAGGTTTCCTTAAATCCCACTATAGCTCTGTTTCATTCTGCCTTATACTGCAGTTAATTTTTTACAGGTCTTGTCTGTCCCACTAAATTGCTAACATCTTAAGAGCAGGAACTGTGACCAAATCATTTGCTAAACAAATCAGGGCTTTAAATCAGTTCAGCCCAGT